GGGATAACACTGCTCTCAACGCTGGGTAAGGTCTTTGTTAGGGTCATCCTTAACAGGATCCGTGATCATTTGCTCGCCTACCAGTGAGCGGAGCAGTCTGGTTTTACAGCTAAGAACCTATGAAGGTTCTCATCGAACACAAACAAGAATATCATTTAATGCAATTAAAATAGAGTTTCTTTGCAGCCTTTGTCAATTTTGATAAAGCATTCGACTCTGTTAATCGAGCTGCCTTGTGGGACACCCTGAGCAGAACATCAGAATATCCAAAGTTGCTGGACGTCACGGCCGGCCTGTATCCTGGTACTGTGAGTGCTATGCGGAGCGGAGGCTGAACCTTTGTGTTCTTCCCAGTTGATTCTGGGGTTCGCCAGGGGTGTGTTCTTCTTCCTACTCTGTTCAATGCTTGCATGGACTCAGTATTGGGCAGGGTCATGGGGTCCAGCGACTGTGGGGCATCTGTTGGTGAAGAAAGATTCATTGATCCTGACTTTGCCAATGATGCTGTGATCTTCAAGGAGTCAATGGAGGCTCTGATCGGGGCTCTCTAGAGACTGAGTGAGGAGCCTGAGTGTCTGGGCTTGCAAGTGTCCTGGATAAAAAACAAAATCCAGGCCTTTAATGACCGCTTGGGCACAGCCACCAGCAGTGTGTCTGGAGAGAATGTCAACCGCATTGACAGATTAACTAATTACCTCAGCAGCAACATTCATGTCTCTTGTGACTCTTCCTATGAAGTCAATAGATTGATTGGGAGAGCATGGGGGTTGTGAGGTTGCTGGAAAGGGGTGTGCGGCGTTTCCGATATCATTGTAAGAGGAAGAAATTCCAAGTCCTTAGAGTCCTGGTGCTCCCTGTTTGGCTGTATGGCTGCTCTCCAGTGACCTGAGACCAAAGACTGAACTCCATTGGTACTGGGTCTCTGGGATCCAACTGGTTTGACTTTGTGTTGAATCAGCGTTTCCTCAGGGAATCCCGAATGAGGCACATTACCTGCATTGTGAGGGAGCGTCAGTTACGGCACTACAGCCATGTGGCGCGTTTCCCTGAGGGTGATCCGGCTCGCAGGATCCTCACTGCTGAGGACCCGAGCGGCTGGACCAGGCCAAGGGGATGCCCACGTAACACCTGGCTGAGGCAGATAGACGGCCATTTCCAGAGAGTGGGACTGGACTGCGTGTTCGCCTAGGGGGTCGCCAACCAGGATCCCAAGGTGTTTCTTCATGTGGTGGGTGCGGCAATGCACTGTACCAGTGCAAGCTCCCCAACCTCTCCTAACCTGATCTGATGATCAAACTAATATATGTGTGCAGATGAGCTTATTTATATGTGACATAATGGCATGCCATTAGTTACATTTCTATACGCTTTTGTATATACTGAGTGTTTTTCCCTCACCCATGATTGTGTCATTAAGCTCATTAGAACTACTCAGTTCATTCACCCTTAATTTGTGATTTACTTGCTGTAGCTGATTGTAATTACAAGTCTATTAGCTGGGTGTTGGTATTAAAAGTTAAAATATTTAAGAAATCCTGTGCTGATGCTCCTCTTCCAGAGGCCATGGCTGACCCTTCTCCACAAGCTGATAACCCAGAGATGTCCTCAGGGGGTGGAGCCTATGACATCACCACAAGGAATCCTTTCCAAGAATTAACAAGGAAAGCACTTACCTCTGAGTATGAAGACCTCACTCACTCCCAGCCCCTGGATGATGATTATGGTGGGGGCTAGACTGTATTATTCAATATGTATTTCCTGAAAACTGGTTAACTTGGTGGAGTGCACTGTAGTTAGCACAGTTGTCTCACACCTCTGGGACAAGAGTTTGAGTCTCTGCTATGGTTCCATGTGTTTCATTTGGGTCTAATTAACTCATGTGTTGCCCCATTACACAAGCAATCCCCAGATTAATATCTTCTGTCACTGGCTTCTGTACTGTAACATCATTAATTACTACCATGCATTTTATTTTTTTATTGGACACTTTGATGCAAATTGACATGCATTTTTTAAAAAGCAGTTCCTTGAAGCAAATTGTTTAAAGGCCCAGTGGTGGAATCACTCTGTCGACCTTGTGATATGAACCGGCAAACTTCAGATTACAGGCACATCCTAACTCACTGAAACGTGCACCGACACAGCCTAACCACAGTATATTAACAAATATTATTACACCATGGATACTTTTGGTACATCTTGTACCACTTCTATATAAACTGTAGTTTCCTGTTTCAAGCAGACATAAAGTTTACATAGAAATTAATGTCTTCCTACAGTTTTCAAGCTGAAGCAAGAGAAGAATGCAATTTACTAAGATTTTTTTTAAGAAATTAACAATATTGTGCTGTTTAATAATGCTAGCACACTGGAGCATTTGCAATTGCTGCTTAATTCTTGTGGAGCTTAGCATTCTGATGCTTATACCATTTAGCCCAAAAAAAAAATTCAGTATTTCCAGAAATTCAATAGTTTCTCTCTTTGGGTAGAACCAGAAGATATTAATTTCAGGCTCTACCCACTGTACATATTGGACTAACCGTATTTTGTAGACATGCTTGAGGAGAATTCTTTAAGACCATTTCAAATGGTCTGATTAGACCTAGGCTATCACTGTCATGCTATAACTATGAAATATGAAACATTTCCAAAAATTTTTTTCTATGTTGATTTGGTAAAGAATTTGCGATTAAGCGATGACCTCCTTGTGTGCTTAGGAGAGCACAGGAAGGAGGTATGTCACTGTCCTCTCCTCGTCTTGCAGGAGTCCTGGGCCCCGGTGCCATCTCCGTCATCGTGATTGCTGTGTTCCTTGGAACCTCGGCCCTGCTTGCTCTGACTGTCATCAGCCTAAGGAAGCTCGCCGCATCTTAGAACTATGTAAAATATATGTAAAATATAATTATGTAACAAATGCACAAAAAAGTATGTTGCACTGTTCTAATTCTTGACAAAATGGCAATTGTGTATTTGATATGTACAATGTGGTATCAGTTAGATATATCATTGGCATTGAGGCTCAGTTAACCACTGTAAAACCAGCGTATGTCAGACACATACCAGATGTCTTCCCCCCTGAGTTTCTAGAGATAGCGTCAGACAACTGCAGCAAACAGTGTAAGTAAACAGATCTCACTATATATTTTGCCTTAATGCGAAGCACTTACTCCGGCTGTATTTGTGGCAATAGTGGGTCAGATGCCCCCTTTTGAAGATGTGTGTACTCACTTAAGCCTTTACTGGCCGGCTCTCAAATCTGGAAATTACAGGATGCCAGGCTTAAATTTGCTGAACGTTATTTACTGCTCTTCCCTATCTATTTAACATTTTTTTTCCACAACTAAGTATTTATTTTTAAAAATGTCACGTTCCGATGCTTGTTTTTGTGTTACACGTGTGATCACAAGACATAAAACATAGGTCTACAAGAAACACAACTTATTTTGGCCATTAACACGCTCACTGTAAGAAGGATGCATTCTGCGCTTATCGATCGTGCAAAGCATTGTTGTTGTACTGCAAATCCAGTAAAATAACACTAGCACATTTCAATCGAAAAGCAAAATGGCCAAATTTTATGAAAAGGCAAAATATTACATGAGATTTTATTAGTCTTGAATAATTTCAGATAGTTATTTATTATAAAGGGGGACCGTGATATGATATGACAGTTTCCCCAACTCACGGCGCATCCCCACCGGTTCGCGGGCACTGGTCCATGTAAACTTATTTGTAAACACGTAATTATTTGACGACCTGTTCCTGTAATAATATAAACGTTTAATGTTAGAATTCTCAAAATGAAAACATTTACATCAAAATAATCAATATTCCTAACCACGAGCAACCACTAAGCAGAAAATATCATAACAGTCAGTATTTCGGTGCATAGTAATAACAAAATATTCATTACATTGTCCAACGTAATGACAATTTATTGGTTTATCACAAATACAGAAGGCCAGTTTACGCACAAGGAAACGTGGGCAACACTGAGAAAACAGATAAGCTGTTCTGCGCATGTAAACTCACGCATCACGAAAATGATTAGTGCGAAAGGAGTATTATGATCAATTTAAATAATTTTCTATATTATTTTGTCATAAGTAGGTTGGCTAACAGGCTAATACTTCAAGGTAAAGGTACACTTCTCGATGTATTTTACACCCCCTCCCCCTAAGTACCGTATTGGCCTGAATATAATGGTGCGTTCGTTCTTCTCTCGGAAATCGGAAATTCCGAGTTGAGTGACATCACATCCGACAATCTCCCGTTCGAGCTACCCACAAGTCCCACATCTCGGAACAAACATGGTTGCCTCCATGAACACGTTGCTGTGTATTGTTGCTTATATTTTAGCAGATTTGGAGTGAGATTATTTTTTTCCGAGAGACAAACAAACAAAAAACACAAACTAGTCAAACCACATTAAAAGCTTTATAAAATATTTTAGTACATTCATCGCGGTATTCTTTTTTCGAGAGGCAAACAAACTACAAACAAACCAAAGACACTAACAAGTCTGGTAAAAAAACTCATATTGCATGCCTGGATACTGTTTACGGTCATGATATGGTATTCTCTGAATCGAACACGTGCAATTACATTTATAACTATTATTACATTTAACAAAATAAACATTTTTAAAGATTTATAAAATAGATCGAATTACTGTTGCGTATGTAAGCCGCCATGTTGAAATTACGTCACAGGCGCAACTCGGACAACAAATGGTGGTGGTGCAAGAGTTGCCCCTGTGACGTAATTTCAACATGGCGGCTTACACACTCAAAAGTAATTCTATTTTCTAAATCTTTAAAAATGTTTATTTTGTTAAATGTATTTTTATAAATGTAATTGCACGTGTTCGATTTAGAGAATATCATATCATAACCGTTTCCTAGCATGCAATTATAAAATATTTTATAATCTTGTCCGACATCAACGTCATAAAAGAGACGTGTTTCCGACGGAAAGTGGCGTTTTTCGTGACGTTTCGTGACGTTGTCATCCGAGTTCCGACTTGGAGAGAAATAATTGAACGCACCATTAGCCATCCCCCACACACACTTTTTGGCATACCAAATCTTACCTTTATAATGAAAAAAATTATTTGACAACATATAAGTTAATCAGCAACCATAGCTTTAAAAGGCAATCGGATTACAATAGGTGTATTAAATAGCAAACATTCCAGAAAATAAATGTATTAAGGGGCGGTAGATAATGAATATTAGACTCCACAACCCTTGAGGGCACAGAATTTTAGAATATTTTCGATGCAGCAGGCCCAAGAGGGTAACAAAAGGTATTGCAGAAAAATCTTGAGCCATGTTAATAACTTACATGACAGCTCTTATTCTAACAGCCACGATCGGTTTAATACTAGCAGCGGCACAGCCAGGCAAGCCAACAATTTACACAACACTCAGGGATACCCGCAAAACACACGCATAACCAGGGCTGCAAATTCTCACTCATCTGGCGTGACACACTTTCATTCTCACACGCTCACGCAAGAAATCTTACGGCAAACGTGTATTACGGTAAGTCAAAACACTTGTTACAAAATACGGTATTTGGCGCCATCTATTTTCTTTTTGTCTAGACGCTTAATGTCAGACACCATTTTTTCATAGGTATATTTTGATGGAAAAAAACGTTTATATTCAGGTCAACACGGTATTTATTTTAATTAGGTCTATGTCAACATTCCTATGCTTGTTTTCTGTAACACGTGATCACAACAAATAAAACATAGCTGTACGAGAAACACAATTCATTATGCCCATTAAAATAACTGCAATAAAATTTAAATTTCTTTCGATGGCTGTATTTGCAAGGACTTTTTGATGTCAGGAAACCAGCCTATGCCAGGTTCTAAAATCACAGATATAGACCACAGAATGCTTAGTTACAAATTCATTAAACCCAAAATAAAACGGGAAAGAAAACAAAGAATCACGCAAATACACAGCAACTAAACCAGCAGGCAAACAAACCGCACTACTGCCCGTAAAAAATATCAGATACAGAAAAGAAACGCTATTTACATGAGCCCAAGGTAAAAACAAAAGAATGTATCCCGAAATCTAGAATGGCTTTCGATAATAGATTAACCCCATCACAATTAAATTCTTCTTATGGTCATTGCAATTCAACATCTTACAGGGTGTGGTCAATTCAAAATTCAGATAATAGATTCTGAACAACCCTGGTAAGGTGCGCATAATGAGCATACCTGTCAAGTTTTGATTTGAAAATAAGGGAAATTTTCCGGCACCCACCGCGAGCCATCCCACCACCCCAACCAAGCTCCAGTATCCCTTACATTTTAAGACAGGTGTACAAGAAATCTAAAATAACCACTTGTCATTTTACATTTTATTTTCATTACACATTTTCTTTTAATTTCTCATGTTCACTCATGTGGCTCTCTGGAATTCACTAATGGCTTATTATACAGATTTGTTATTATGCAGACTTTGTATCCTTGTTCAAGTCGTCACAGAAGGTGAAAGTAACGTTGTTTTTGGCACACAGCATTGCCATTTTAACCTCCGCATTTATGACCTGGTTAATGTTGTAAATGACCTGAAGACTACAGCAGGTGGCAGTTCTCGCGAGGCTACTGACAGTTCAGTTTGGAGATGCAGAGGGATTTTTTTTTAATGATATTATAATACGGGAGATTTACGGGAAAATACTAATACGGGAGGACGGCGGGAAAGAGGGGTAAAATACGGTAGTTTCCCGGCCAAAACGGGAGACTTGACAGCTATGATAATGAGCTAACCAATCAAACTTGCTATGCATTAAGTCACATCTTTTGACCTGGTAAGGTGAATCATCCCTCATGACCAGCAACAGAACTTTGCATTTGAGATGGAACCATCCAGGAAGCAAAGTTGTTTTTGCAGGTGATCATGAACCCGCTGGACCATCTCAATAATGATGAATTCATAGAGAAATATAGTCTAGCCTGGGCTGAAATAATGAGCTTCCTTGATCTGGTGCAGGATAAATTGAGAAGAATCTATCTGAATTTTGGCCTCACTGCACCATGCAGCTTCTGGCAGCTGTCTGCTTGTACGCCATTGATGGATTCCTGCTGACCTACAGATGCACATGGCCTGAGCAAGACTGCGGTGTCCTGCATCTGTGCATTGATCACATTTCTGTTGCACTGCGCTCACAACTACATATGATGTCCAACAGGAGTGGATGCCTTGCATGGCACCAAGTTGGTTTTCATGCCATTGCAGGCATAGTAGGTGCAGTGGATGGAACCTTCAACCTTATTCATATTGGCCTATTCTGTGCCCCTCCCAAAATAAACCTGCAAATAAATCATTAATTACAGATTTCGGAAATGCCAGAAAAGCCCAAAAACAGCATGCCACAACATGCAAATTACACACAAAAAAACAAGCCAATCAAGGAAAAAAAAAACAAATCTTACGTCTCCCTCCTTCCCTGCCTGACATTATCAATCCAGGGCAAGTCTGTATCTATTATCACTTACTAGGTACTACAAAGTTTCAAATGTATCTTCAAAACATACTTCTATGCAATGCGCATATTTATTATTTGTTTAAAAAGGAAAAGGTAGGCCTGCCTAACCACACTGCACGTTGCATATCAACAGGAGGTAACACATCACTTTGATGTCAGTTTTGTTATAAAAACAAAATAATTTAATCTTACTAGATGCACTGTATAGCATTCACATGCTTACATACTTAACTCATGGATACTTCTTGCAGGAAAAAAAAGTAGTAATGCTTAAGCATTAATAGGTTCTGGATGTCCATCCATCCATTTTATCCTATTCAGGCCCACAGGAGGTCCTGAGACTATAGCTGTAAGATGGGGAGCAACCCAGGATGGGGCACAATCACACACACCATTCTCACACACTTGTGAGCAATTTTTGGTAACTCCAATTAGCCCCAGCATGTTTTCGGAGTGTGGGGGGGAAGCCAGAGTACCCAGAGGAAACCCCATGATGACACAGGGAGAACATGCAAACTCCACACACATGGAACCCTGACAGAGATTTGAATCCAGGTGACAGTGCCACTGAACCACCATGCCACTCAGGATCTGAATGTAAACTAAAATCTAAAAGCTATAGAGCTACGTTTCCTGTTAGTCTTCATTCATACAGAAGCACAGTGATAGGGCAGGCAATGGCCGGGGGCCCCGAGCTGGAAGGGGGCCCCCGAGGGCAGCCAATAGTGCATTAGTGACAAATCTCTTTTATTTGTGTATTCTGTTTTTCACAAAAGTGAAAATAATAATCTTCCATTTATTAAATTCTCTTTGTTGATATTCTTAATTTTCACTTCACAATAAAATAAAGGTAATAAATGTTACCATGCTGGGGAGGGGGAGTTGGAGGATTTTGCCAAGGGCCCTCAGAGTCCCTAGAATCACCTCAGCATACATACAGCCACAAAGGAAACAGGAAGCTGATTTTCTCTGTTGAGTGAAATAGAACATAGTTTAAAAATAGTATTAACTATCTGAGAAACTTCATTAAAGCATGGTTAACATAGCACCTGCAGAATGGGGCGTCTCTTTAATTGTGAAAGATGAGAGTGTGGGGAACGGTGGAAAGTGAAAAGGAGGAAAATATCCCTTGTTCTTTCTTTTTCACAGAGACCAGTGAGGATGAATGGGACACACAACGCGACTTACCTGAACAGTACACCGTTGGCTGTCGCTTACTCCTTCGTGGTTTTGCTGGGACTGCCACTGAACGCACTGTCACTGTGGATCCTCGTCTGCAGACACGGGTTCCGGGCGGCCAACACCATCATCATGGCCAACCTGGCCGTCTCCGACCTTCTCATGATCCTCTTTCTGCCCCTACGCATCGCCTTGCACATCAAGCCCAGCAAACTCTTGATGAGACCCTGTGATGTGATGGTCTTTCTCATGAGAACCAACATCCTGTCCAGCTCCTTCTTCATCACCTTCATCAGCGTGGACCGCATGCTGGCTCTGGTCTACCCACTGCGCTCTCGGGTGGTGCGCTCTCCCAAGACATCATGGATCGCTTGCGGTGCAGTGTGGTTGCTGGCGATGGCGTGCTATCTGCCTGATCTGAAAGAGAGTAGGCGATCCTCTACGTGCATTATCTTGATTTCCCAGTGTGACTCCAGTGATTGTAAACCTACCACCAAGGATGAGTTGCCCTTCTTTGCATTAACCCTATCGGTTTGCCTGTATCTGATGTTCGTAGTCAACCTGGTTGCCACAGCTAGAGTTGTGTGGAGCCTAAACAATCGTCAGGTAGACCTGGCTGGGTACAGTGTGAAAAGGCTGATGTTGATTTTCCTTGTCAATCTGCTGATATTTGCCCTCTTTTTTTTGCCGCTCGCTATCGTGCTGCCGCAGCAGCCTGAGCCTGAGCTACGGCATGTAGAGGTAACATTTTGTCTCTCAACCTTCAACTGTTGCCTGGACCCACTCGTTTACTATTTCTCTTTAGATGGTTTCTTGAAAAGAAAAAAAAACATGGATGAGTAATTTAATATTTTGCAGTCCCTGATTGGTTAGCACTGCAGCCTCATGCCTCAGCAGGTGGTGGCTTTGATTCCCATTTCCCCAGCTCTGTGATAGTGGAGTTTCTATGTTCACCCCTTGCTGTACCGGTTTTCTCTGGCTAGTTCAGTCTTCTGGTACGTGCCAAGAATACAGCAATAGGCAAATTGGCATCTTTGATTTGTTCTTAATGAACACTTATAATGTATAAGCGAGCATGTCTGTGTGTTTGCAGTGTAATGGCCTGGCATTTCATCCAAGCTATACCCCTGTCTTGTGCCTTCTGACTCCTGTGTAGGCCTCAGCCCTCCCAGATACCTATGTTACTGCTCATATCCCTTCACTGGCTTCCTTACGAGAGTTTTTTTCAGTGACAAGTTCTGATCCCGCGATATTTACCTTATCTTAATAATGCATGCAATGTAGTGTTCGGCCTGCAGGGGGTATTTTTTCTTATCTAATAATGAAGAAAAAAAACAACTTAAAGCATTGTAGGTATATATTTGTCTCTTCTACTTCATTATTTGCTGGTCCTTTGACACTGACCTTTAAAATGTCTTATTGAAGTGGCAAAAATAAAGTTTCATTGATGAGTAATAACTTTGAAAAAGCAAATTTTCAGTTACGCATATGCATAATTTCAATGGTTGTCGGCTTCTGTTTTTAGAGCCATTTGCCAAATATCACAAACCGACTAAAAAACATGCTGTTGGTAGAAATAGTGGTGTGAAAGGGTTTTATGTCGAAGCTGCTTTATTGGACCCATGCAACACAATGTGTAACTTATTTTTGTCTCTTCAGTTTGGAGTAATAAATGCCTATACTTAAAACGTATAGTTGTATTTAATTACTTATTATTAAATACATTTAATAGTTGCATTTTTGTTGTATTTAATATTTGCTGTCAAAGTCTGGAAACAAAGGAGGCAGGAACAGGCGTTGGGGCAAAAAAACGAGGGGTTTATTAAAGAAACAGGAACAGGGTGTCACGGATCCGGGCAGGTTTGGAACAGGGACGTGGCATGGTGCAGGCAGAAATTCAGACGACCCACTTGCGGCTTACTTAACAGGGGTTTATTTAATAGAACAGAAAACACTATAAACGTAACAAAACCAAAAGGACCCCGAGGGGTCAAAAACTAAAGGGGGAAAAACAAAGACTAAATGTACAAGGGGGGGATCAGGCAAATAGGCAGGAGGCAACAAACAGAATATCCAAAACTAGACTACATCCAACTATCAGAAACATCTCAAACAATCAACGAACCACTGGGGAACCGAACAGAAGCGGGGATTTAAATACTGAAACTAAAACTGTGTAACAAGACTAACACAGGACAGGTGAGACTAACAAAGACTGGGAAAACAGGTCACAGGTGAGACTAACAAAGACTGGGAAAACAGGTCACAGGTGAGACTAACAAAGACTGGGAAAACAGGTCACAGGTGAGACTAACAAAGACTGGGAAAACAGGTCACAGGTGAAACTAATTAACTCAGGGAACTAAAACAGGGAAACTAAGAAATAAGCAAGAAACGGAAACAGAATCTAACACTGGGGAATTACAGACAGGTAAAAACACAAGCAGGGGCACAAGGAACGAAACCAAAACCAAATGCAAAATCACCAGACACAGGAACTAGGACAACTCAAATAAAACACTAGGGAGCAAAATACAAAAATACAGGCGGTGGGATTCAAACACAGGACAGAAAGGCTCATAAATAACCAGATGCTCAATGTATTGAGCCATGAGGCCAACAGGGAACAGGGGAAAACAGAAAGACTGACAACACGAGGGACGGGATGACCAACAGAAGGCATTGCTAGTACGAGGGGAACTGGAGGAAGGGAGGGAGGGCACTTGTACTATATATTTGACTAATGAGGGAGCAGAAGACGGGCAGCTGGAGTGATCCACACGAGGGCTGAAACGAGAGGTAAGACAAATGATCAACAGCTGTGGGAGAGAATTAGGGGGCAGGAATGCAGTTGTAGTCTTAATAGTATATAGTTGTATTTGCAAACAGGAAAGGAAAACCTGTATTTGCATTTTATTTTTACCATACTGTTTTAATAAAAGTGTTTGGAACATCTCACAAGTGGCTTTGATTTAAAATGAAACATGAAGCCCACTTCACAGAATATACTGATATATGTAGCTTACACTTATTCTGCCTAAAAATATTGAGGTATGTTTTTTGGTCCATATCGCCCAACCTATTTGCTCCCCCTTTGAAAATCTTGGGCCTGTTCCTCAGATTAACTCTGGCACCAGCATTGGGTGTAAAAGTCAAAGTCATACTCAGAATTCATGCAAGGTATCATGACTAGGAACAAATACATCAAAAATCTTGTTACAAATTACAAATACTTGCTCATTAAATGTCCATCCTTATGGAGTGGCTCAGCATGCCAGTGGTTTGCTTCCTACCAAGAAGGCCGGTCATATCAAGGGACATGAAAGGGACCCACATCTACTCCATGCAGACTCTGCTGGTGTCCCTCAGGGCTCAGTTCCTGGTCTTCTTCTGTTCTCCCTCTATACTAGGTCTCTTGGTGAGGTCATATCCTCACATGGGTTCTCATCATTGCTATGCAGACGACACCCAACTTATCCTTTCCTCCCTCAGACACTTAAGTCTCCACTCAGATCTCTGCATGTCTGACCGCTCATCAGCTGAAACTCAACCCCAGCAAAACTGAACTGCTATTCATCCCAGCTGATCCATCCCCACACCAGGATCTTGTGATCTCCCTGGACAACTCTAGTCAATTTGTCCTTCAGTCACTGCTCATAACCTAGGGGTAACCATGGACAATCACCTGTCCTTTTCCTCTTACAATCTTTCCCAGTCCTGTCAATTTATCCTCTTTAATATCAGAAGGGTTCATCCATTTCTGTCCACACAGGCCACTCAGGTACTTGTTCAATCTCTTGTCATCTTGAGACTAGGCCACTGTAACTCACTCCTAGCAGGTCTGCCTCTGAGCGCCATTCATCCTCTGCAACTGATCCAGAATGCAGCTGCCCGACTCATTTTCAACCTTCCCAAGTTCTCCTACACCACACCATTGTTACGCTCCCTTCACTGGCTTCCTGTAGCTGCCTAAATCAGATTCAAAACACTGATGCTGACCTACAAAGCCAAAAATGGTCCAGCACCCTCCTACCTAAAAGCACTTATCATATCCTGCACTGCACCACACTCTCTCCAATCCCCCAACTTGAGAAGTACTTGGATTCGTACTTCCAGGATTATACTCAGTATTATAAAAAAAAATAAAAAAATACTTGCCAACGGAGCTTTTTAGAGTGATAGTATCCTTAGCCAGGTTCTATTGAACCAGTATGAGAATGTATAGTATTCACTGATGAGACTTCTAAGCATTTATGTAAGGGCGTCTGCCAATTGCAGTAAACGTAAATGGTTGTAAAAACTCCAACGTTTAGCTGATACAATTTAATTTTGTCCTTAGGAACAAAAGTACTTAGCCTGATTTATCGCTAATAAAGTCTTACATATATGACAAACCACAAGATGCCACTACCTGAGCATGTCTGTTGGAATTAATTAGAGTGCCACTTGCAGGCTGGTTAGTATGGAAGAAAAAAAAAACAATCTCTGAATGACCCTCCTATACCTTAGCTCTAGCCAGGAAAACAATTATATCAATGACTCAAAATTGATAAAGAAAAATTTAGTTTATTAGTGAGATGATGCAAATTAGCCTAACAGCATGCTCCGCATACCTCTCCAAACAAAGAATAAGTGCACCATTATATATTTTTTCAACACTCCCTTACAAGGTCTTCTTTGACAAGATTGGTTACCATACAGCATGTCCAGCAATTGATTTCCTCCTTCCCCATGATCTTCACCATTGTTCATTGTGTGTGTGCATTATGATCACTTAACCTATCACTTGATTACCTGATTGTCTATTGATTTCATTGTCACACTATTTATGCTTATATTGATAATGCAATTTTAACTGTGATATTATACAATGATATTATATAGCTGCTTTGTATTATTAGCTCAAACTATTGGAAACAGGATTCTCCCCTCCCATCTTCTCCTATTTCCATTTACTGTTACCAAGGCAACCTTCCCTCACAAGTCCATAATTTCCATTTCAGCCACCAGATGTATCCCGTCTTTCTTGCTATGACAATTCTCTCTGCATCAGGTAAGCATACTCCAGCATGTCTAATCAAGTACATTGTCCGTGAGTCCAACAAGAAGAAACAACATCTTCTGGCTAAAGGCCTAAGACAGAACAACAATCCCATAATGTACCCAAACCCACCTAACTTTCAATTTTTCTTCCACATTTCCCCCTTGGTACATGCGGAAAACCTGTGTTATTCACAAAACATTAGACTTGGAGTCCTTTTCTGAATCCTCTTCGTCCCATTCGGAGTGGTCCTATCCGTTGCTGAATTCACATGGGGAAGAAATGAAAGGTTGGTGATGCAATCATCAACTACAATGAAATTAGGCATTAGGTGAGATGCTTGAAGTGATCAGCAAGGGCAAGGATAGCTCAGCTGCAGGTGCTACGGGACAAAAGGGCAGTGGGCATGTCACTGGCCGGAAACCCACACCAGAGCCAGCGGCAGACGGGCAGGAGACACCGGAGCGAGGATGGCACTCCCCGCTCCACCCAAGATGCATGGGACCCGTGCAGCATGTCCTGAAACCTCTACTCCCAGCCCGATGGATTCGCTTCAGAGACGTGGGGTGACCCCTGCTGCGGACACGATCGGCAGAGGCAGCAGGCAGAGGCTGCTCTGCATGTGCATGAGGAGGCATGCTGTAGCTCAGAGACCCGCTAGCTCAAGAGCACCGAGAGCTGGACGAGTGCCGGAAGCAGGACCATCAGGACCGGGAGTGGCTGCAGGAGTCAGCGGAACAGAACCGGCTGCTTGATCCGCATCTCCCTGATCCCTCCATGTGATCTGCCAATGATGTGTCTTCATGCACAACAAGTACAAGCGGCTGAAGGCCATGCAGATGGCTGCCGGGATCTGAGACAACGAGCAAAACTGACTGACTACAATAAAATAATATGAAGTACAGCTTACGTAGTTTGGCTTCACCAAAACACAGCATTGTTTTGGTGAAGGAGGAGCACAATATGAGATTTTTTCGGTTTCCCACTTGGAAAAGAGGATATGGACAGCAGGTAGAGGAGCTAACCAAGAGGCGTCGGGTGGCCTGGGTCGAGCAGTGAGACGGATGGAGATCACAAGGACGTAAAAAAAAGAGACGGAAGTGAATACATACATTAATTTCTTAATGTTTAGAAAGGATCAACAATATGTGGTAGAGCATATCATGTGGCAAAACACGAGTCTCTGATTGACCATCCCTTCAGTTGGACTTCAAAGCACAGTTTGAAGAACACTGGCACACAGACTGAAGTGAGGTCAACAATTAAAATGTAGGTACTGTATACATATTTTAGGCAGTAAATTTTTGTAGAATAAGTTGTATGTCATACAAACAAGTAACAAGTAGGAAGAAACAAGCCTGTTTTTCCAAAAGGAAAAAAATGCCAAAAACCATTGAGAACAGTAGCATATACGTCCCAGTTAGTCCAAAAAAAGCACTGTTCATTTGACGAGTAATGAACTAGTAGTTATTAGAAATAATCCATAGTTAGTAGATAATTCCCAATGAGACCTGCAATACTCAATAGTTCCTAATGAAGTACTAGCGAACTACTATAATAATTAGTTCACTATTACCTATTGAGTAATTAAGCATAACTCCTTAGTAGTGAATAGTACTAATTTAGGTGTTAATGAAGCACTACTCATTTGTTGCTGCTTAGTTCCTGCATATTTACCTGTTAACTACGGAACAGTTTTATAAAGTGTTACCATTAGTATCAATACGTGTTCAACACTAAAGCAAAGGTAGAAATAATTATTGGCAATCGTAGGATAATAAGAGGGTCGGGGAATCATCGCGGAGTTTCGACGGAAAGGTGTGGAGTGAAACTGCAGAAGTTTTGAATCTTCCAATTAATTATGTAAATACTTGATTTTTAATTAAAGTAACCTGTACTGTGAAGTACTTGTAAACTCCTAATAAAGTGTTCAGTAACCTACATGGGAGTGACACATTATTTTATCCATAGAAACATAGATAAATGTTGTGTTAAATGTTATTCTCCCGTGATCATGTGATCTCGAAAACCAGTGGCGCGCCGGATCAGATACGGACCACAAACGCGTCCAGCGCGAATTGGCGGACGGCCTCGGACGGAATGGGAATGCAGCGCAGTCACACCGCAGCAGATACACATCCGGTGTAAAACAGAGGTAAAACAGGGGTGGGTACAAATGCATAAAAAACTGCGTAATGGCCGTACACGAATTAAAGAGAACAAGTCCCATAGGCTAGGCTAGGCTGCTCGGCGTAGCCTACAGCGAGCATAAAAAAATGTAGCTAACAATTATAAAACACTGAAAAGCAAGAATAAATATTACAGTAAACTGTGTTACTAATAAAAATGTAGAAAAAAAGGCAAATTGTCAGTGCTATCACAAATTTACGAAAAATTGCTTACAATACGGCAATCAGCCTATGCGGGAAGGATACGTACCCCCATAATCAGAGGTTAACCCCCCATTCCATTTCCACCCATACATCCATTTTTTGCATCCACTGGTTATATTTGGGGTAGCAGGGGTCTGGAACCTATGCCGGAATCGATGGGTGTAACAAAGGGTATAACCTACTGTAGGATGGAGTGTCAACCCATAGCAGGGCACTTACACTATTCATGCCTACGGACAATTTGGCAACTCCAGTTCACTGCAGTATGTTTTTGGGGACAAAACCCCATGACAACACAGGGGGAACAAGCAAACATGTAGAGCTCAGATAGTGTCAAGCCCTGATCCCATAGGTGTGAAGCAACAGTGCAAACCACTGATTGGGGGGCTGGTGTCAACAAAAGCATGAGACTTGTTCTTTCCCCAGGACATCCCCCCTCACACCGGTAACAGTATTTTCAGGCATTTTTTCAATAGATTTTACAAAGATTCCTATTTGCTGTAGATGCAAATTCATAAAAAAACATCGTGACATCAGAGTTCCGGAATCAGCAAACGGAGCCAGTTGGCAGTTGATTCCATCAAACTGATATTCCCTTTGAAGGTGCAAGGTGTCTTTGACTTGAAATATGGATTCTCAACATAATTTGCAAATTAACAGCCCGTATATGTTTCATCAACTGAATGGTAAGCATATATTTCTCAGCACAATCATTCACCGTGTTATATGACATTAAAATAGTGATTTTTTTGTGACATTTCCAAAAGTTTGGATTGAAATTTAAAGGAGATATCTAAATCAAATAAATGTTGCCATTCTGCTATGTGTTAAGAAGAACTCTTGTTTGTTTTTTGTACATTAATTGAAGGATTGAGCAGGGTAGCCACATTCATTCCGTGCGGTGATGGTCCCAGCGTTTACACTGCTGGGGGAATGCTGGCTGCCCCTGGGCCAAACATCCCAATATCATCTGGACCTGTAGAGCTCCAAATGGCCGCAGCCACTCCAGTGTGGAGCGTCTGGCCTCACCAAGGGAGTGAGGTGCCTCCTCCTTTTCTGCCACCCAGCAGCATCCCAGTGGTGACAGAACCACCCAAGAAGGGCAAGCGGCTTCGCCAAAGGCGCAAAAATCCAAACAGCTTCAGCTCAAAATACAAGAGGCTGATGGAGGTCACATACGGGACTGCAGAGTATTGGTCCCTGGACAGCAGCTCACATTGTGAGGATCCTGGCAATCCCAGATCACAGTGTGGACCTGATGTCAAGGGAGCCTGCACCAGACGTGGGGTAAAAAGGAGGTTCAGTGAAGCAGAGGCCCCCAGTGAGGTCAGACTGGAAAATGGTGGACAGAGTAGAATCAAGGAGGCAGATAGGGCTGCTAAGAAAAGCAGGCAGATGGCTGGAATGACAGAGGCTACCGGGCTATCTAACTCACAGAACCATCCGGTGCCAGGAAGCTCTACACAGCAGCATGGATGTAATTCTGTTCCCTCACTTGTGGAACAGAAATGGAGCCTAGAGGACCTGGAGTTCCTCAGCGACGTCCCCCAGCCTGATGGGACAGCACTTGCTGCTATAACCTTGGACTGGCCTCTTAATTTGTTTGAGGGATGTGATATGGATACACACCAGGACCCAATCCTCAGTAGCTGGGAGACGTCTTGGAACAACCAAGCAGCTCATATGGCCAATGGATTGGATGTCCAGGATGTTTCTCAGTTTCCTGGACACATCCCCAACTCCCAAGACGAAGGGTGCCACGCAATCTCAGTGGAACCCCAAACCCGGGTGGAGCAGGAGACCCCAATGAATGCAGTTGACTCTGAAGAGTTCAGCCTGTGGCAGATCCTGGAAGAACTGTATGGAAACTGTTATTAATATCAATTCATTCTTAAATAAATCTTAAGATCATATTTCAGAGTGTTGTCTTTTACTGTAATACAGTACAGTGGTTTGCAGTCATGTAACTTGTAGCCCCCTGGCAGAATGTTTTTATTCCAACCCTACCTTAATCAGGCTCATATGGTCTTTTATAGGCTAATAATGAATGTGGCAGGTTGAAGGCAGTGTGGATTGGAATGAAAACATTCTGGCGGCTGGGGGCCAGGAATAGGATTGAGAAGTACTGCTCTAATATATTACAGTGTTTTACAATAATTTTCACACTTGTCTCAATACCATGTCCACTTTTTCAAAACACTTCACACATTCACCATACCTTTAGACTATGTGAGCTAAAGTAAGAATACTTTTGCGTTGCGTTCATATGATATGCATTCAATATGCAACAACTTCTTCCAAAATTCATGAAAACATGTTCCAGAAAATATTCAGCACCAGCAAAATTCTGTACAATTCCAACAATTTTTGCAGACATTTAGATACTCCGTTCAAAACAATTGAAAACAAAATTGAAATCACTTTGCGTTTTTTTCCAATCATTTTAACGCGTGTCTCAATACCATGTCCACTTTTTCAAAACACTTAACACATGCACCGTACCATTGGACCATGTGAGCTAAACTATGTATACTTTTGCATTGCTTTGACACAATATGCATTCAATCACCACTTCCCCCAAATTTCACGAATACTTCTCTCAGTCAGTGTTCGCCACCAGCAAAACTTTGTACAACTACTGCCGATTTTTCAGACGTTTCGATAATCTGTTCAAACTGTTCAGTTAACTTTCAGGTCAAAACCTAATGAAATTTTGAGCACTGTAAGTTGAAATATGCTGCATTTTGATAGACAAAGGACACTATGCACTTGCACTAGCACAAATAGATTTCGTATTTTTGTTTTTGTTTGCTGCTTTGTTATCATTTATACAAATGAGGTCATGGAGTGTCCCTTTCCTGTGACCATCGGCCACATGATCAGATGTCGCTTTTAGATGCAATGGCTGTTGGGTGTATGAACATCCATGTGGAGGACATCCAGAGCTGGATAAGACACTCAAAGAGATTTTTTCCTTGGTGTATTGCAAGAGAAAATATTCAGTGTGATGTCGATGAAAATTTATGGCCAAATGCAAAGGACCGAATGGATTAGGCCAGGTCAACAGTATACTTGACTGTATACAGTGAAACTTTGCTATTTGCAGATTTTTGTTTTTTTTTTTGTATTGAATGTAATTGGTTAAGTGATTAAATTGGTAAGTGGCTGTAATGTATTTTTCTTTTCCAGTGTATTGTGCAGCTGAATTTATTTACTGTGTTATTTGCTTGTATTACAATGTTTACTGTAAGAAATGGCATACGTTTTTCTTTTACTTTGCAATAAACATTGTGTGAAAATATAGGACACAACACATCATATATATGCATTTTGCAGCGCTTCAAGTTGTTTGTGTTTTTTCATGCATTGTACTTTGTGTGACAAAGTCGTCTTGTGGGAGAGTGCATGTGCTATAGGTTTGGCAGCGTGTGTCACTTTTGGGTGAAGTGTTTTGGTGGTTTTAGTGCATTTGGCACCGAAAGTTAACTGATATGCTCAGGTGCATGTTTGTAAAGTTCACAGTGTGAAGTGTTTTGAAAAAGTGGACATGGTATTGAGACAAGTGTGAAAATGATTCACATTCATGAGAGCTAAGTGTGGAAGATCCCAGCAAATGTGACAATAATACTTGGGCCCAATATTAAAAATGCAAAAGAAACAGCGGTGAAAAGTTTAAAAGTTATTACATGAAATGCAAGATTCCACATGCATAAAGGCAGCTAACACATGAGTGAGGCTTGGCAGCCCAAAGACGCGTGGTGTACCCAAGCCAAGACGCGTATATCCCACAAGGCTGATACCCGAGGTTTTTCATGGATAGAGTACAAACTGTATTTAAAGAGCTAATTAAATCATACATGACAGAGATAAGCTGTTTACGGGGGCAATTAAGGGTTAGAAGCACATCGGACACCGATTCTGGTGGCTGTTTAGGGATATGGGGATACAGCTTTTGCACAAAAGCGTCTGCTTTGAAATAAATGAAACAGATGATTCTTCAGGGGGTTATACTTGACTGATAGAATTGTGAATGTTTTCAGGGTTCAATTGGTTACCCTTTGTTAGACATAGTGAACATCTAGCAATAATGACACAATATTTTCGAGACAGATCATTTAATTAGAAGGACTACAAACAAATAAAAAAATATTCAAACATATTTTTGACCAGAGTCAATCGCAAACATTTACATTCAGTGTACAACGTCTGTTGGGACCTGCTTGTCTCGCTGCATATCCCAGAGCGCTTGAGCGGCTGCATCTACATCAGTATCGTATTCATTGACCATAACACCGCGTATCAATTCATCCATTTTGCTGCTTATGTTCCTCACATTTTTCAACTTATTTTAAAATGTATCAATAACCCTTTGAACCATTGTGGAAGATGGTGGAATTGGGTTAAACCTCAAGACCCCCTTCACTACAACATTTTTCAACCACGGTCTACACAGTTTTTTTTTTTGTCAATCTGTGCTGCCATTTCTGGGGTTTGCCATCCACCCCCTGAAACTGAGAATATAAACACATTCAGACTTTGTCCAATTTTAAACAAAAAAAGCACCAGTAAGGTAAACCATGTACACTCACCATTAAAACTATCAACACTTTTTCGCTTAAAGTTGGTCTCAGGCCCTTCACGGTTGTCTCTGAAAGTAGCCCCTGGTGTGCTTAATAGATCGCTGTTATCTGCAACTGTGAGCTTGCTGAGGTTGCTTATGTCATGATGATCAAAATGCATTGTGCTAGCCCTCTTTTGCATAGTCATAC